AGGAGTGCATCCACCAGCTCATAGTTTGTGTATTGTACTGCAAAGATATTGTGCATGCAGAGCAAGAAGCACCAACTGAAGAGCCTTTGGCCAGGCTGCGTATGTCAAATGATCCAGCGATCAACTCCAGACAATTTATGTGCAACTTGGTCTCCTCCCCTTATCAGGGACCTCCTGTGGAGGCATCTGTGAAATGGGCTCCCCAACTCCACAATGAGATCTGACTATGGTCCAAATATTGCTCTGCAATTCAAGACTTGCATGTGTCGTAATCATAGGAACCACCTCCTGAGAGGCATATCCAGTGATCCTAGTAGTGGTCCAAGTGTAGATATTTTGTCTTCAATTGTTGCATAGCTCGGTAGTGAAAGATTGCCTGCATCAAGGAGGACAGGAGGCCCACGAGCCATGCGAGGAGTCACAGGAAGAGCGCATCCATGCAAAGGTTCTGTGGAATCTCCTTTCGGACAGATGCTGTCTTCGAGGCAAGCAGGTGAAGAAAACAGTCCACAGGGTCTATCTTGAAACCAAGGAATTTAGCGGCCTGAGAAAGGGAGAGCACTAACCTCTGTCTGTTCACCATGGAGCCTGAGGATTCCAGAAAGTGAACAACAAATTTCAGGTGAACCAGTTGTTGGCCAACAGGAAATCCTAAAAGAGATGGATTCCATCTGTTTTGGAATGTCGATAGACGACATTATCATGGAGCTGACGGAACTTAATGGCTGGTCAAAATTCTTCTGGCTGTGTGTAGGATCTGGGGCCTGTGGAACAAATTCGGCTGTTGGCTCAGCCCTGCTGCCTACCAGCCCTCCCCAAAACACCCCTGCTATGTGGGGGTGGAACACTTGCTTGAGGGAGGATAGGGCTTTGTTCAACAGAGTGAACGGGTTCCCCGAATAGGACTCCCTTTGCCAAGGGGCCCAGTTCTTGAGGAGCCCAATTACAACAGTTTGCAATCCACCTACAACAGTGCCGACTTGCGTCTCTCAGAACAGAGGGTAGCATTGGCGTTATTTACCAAGCAGATAGAGTTCTATGCCAAAGTATAGCATCTTTGTCAATGGGCCAAGTAAATCTAGGAATTTGTCTTGCATAGACTTAAGCTCTTTTATAACATCCTTTACCAGCACGGGACATGAAGGTCACTACTGTGGTGTCATGAGCTGGACCAGTTGGTCTGGCAGGGTTCATTCGGGTGATCTAGGGTGGCTTATAGTGTATGGGTCACCCAGCACATCCAGAAAAATCCCATACCCGGTGGTATTGGGTGGATGTGTACAGGTATCTTTTATGGATAATCGCCACACAGCACGGTTTAAAACACATATTTGTAGCCCGTGTGGAGTAGGTCTAGTCCACCTTGTTGGAGGCAGATCCTACCACTTGCCATTCATCCACCACATTGAGAGCATGAGGTGGACAAGAGTCCTCATCATCTGAGGACCGGGGAAGCTGGACCACCTGTTTAAAGCACTTGGGTGTTTTCAAGAGAGCCTTGCGTAGTCTTGGTTCTCGTTTGTGAACTGGAACCCCTCTAGTGGTGCTAAGGCCCTCTCTGGCTCTGTAGAGTCATATGGTATCCTGGGGTTCACCCCGTCTGTTGTGTGTCTTGTGTAACAAAGAACACCCACTATGTTAAAAGTAAGATTTGGCACAATATGTATGAATTCAATGGACTTCAGTGAATTATTAGATATATTAAATAGTTAACGTCACGTCAAGGGTGCATGACTCGTTATTGCACTATGGAATATTATCCTTTAATGTAATTTGTGTAGTGCCTGCCTGGTAGAGGTGGAATATTGTCATTGTCAAAAGGGGTTAATTTGATTGTATGAAAGGTCAGATGACAGAAGGGGTAATGTAAATTGCATATGAATGTGAAAAAGATTTTTACCATATGGATGGAATCCTGTGAACTAATCAAAGGCTCTGCAAGGTGTGAAATTCTACACTTGAAAAGACTGAATGTCTGGTTTCAGTCATATCGCCTCTACTTCTTAATTGATGAGTCAATCTCTGTGATATGTTAATGGCCATTAACTGTGTTCCAGCATCATATCCAAAAGAAAACATGAATGTTTACCCACTGAATAATAATTAAGCCTCATTTTTGTTATATTTGGAAGGTGACAAGCACCACCTTCTAAACAAGCCCAAACATGTTTGGCAAAACTTAACCATAGGGAAAGGGATTGTGGTGGCCATTATATTGGGTCGCAAGTAAGGTGTGTGTCACATCTACTGAATAAAAAAATAATAACAAATTCGTAGATGCAATTATTATTTCTGTGGCAGGTATATAAGAGAAGATAGAACCAAATGATTCTGTCACGATTTGGGGAACCCAACACGCTGGCACACACACACACACACACAGAAAAGGTGCCGTACCGGACCTTAGAGTGGCCGGGCTAAGCACACACAGAATAGTCAGGAGACAAGCCGAGTAAGGGGAACCAGAAGACAGAATAACGTGAAACGAGCCGAGGTCAAAGGGTAGAAGAAAGTCACAGAATCAGATAAACAAGCCAGAGAGTACGTAACCAGAAACACAAGGTAAGTAGCAATACTAGTAAGCAAAGACCACAAAAGGGCAGGGAGGAACAGGAAAGGTAAGTATTTAAACCATAAGGTTAATTCTGATTGGATAATTTCCAATCAGAATTAACAATCACACGTGGGAGATATCTAAACCTCCCACTGTGATTGAGGCACTGTGCCTTTAACGCCGGGTCAGGTGACTGACCCCGGCGTGTTAAAGTGGGCGGTCTCCCAGCGTGCAGCGTCATGCATGCTGCCGCTGGGGGACGTGGAGGAAACGGCGGGCGGCATCCGAGGCTGGAAGGATGCCGCTCGCCGAGCCCACGAGGAGGAGGGGACCGCGGACGGCTGGAGGGTGAGTACCGCGAGCGGAGTGCAGCCTCCCCTCCCAGCCGCCCCCGGGATCCCGACAGATTCCATTTGGATTGATGTAGGTCTAGAAACAAGGGGTGGTCACTTAGTGTCTCTATAGATCCGTCTTAACTCCACCTCTGGGTGAGGCATTTTAATCCACAGGGTATATCTCTAGTGATACTGAAGTGTGCCTTGATTGAGGGGCAGAATCTAATTCTAAGTGAGTCACCATCTTTCTTACCAGAGACTCCATGGGGCAAAAGTATTTACTTTGAAGAGCTGAGTAAATGATTAGGACTTTCTGTTGTTTTATCTGTTTTGTTTTTATCTGTTGTTGGTGTCAATAATTTTGATTGTCACCTATATTTTTGTATGCACTGTGACTATTTTTTGCTCAGAATAAATATTCCTTTATTAAATTCTGCCTTTGTCTGGTAAAGAATCATGTTACCTGAAGAGACTAATTAGTATTTTTGCAATTCCTTAATATTGTGCTAAGTTGTATTTGGTGGGTTTTTATTATTGATTTACCTGGGGGACCAAGGCACCCCTTTTGTAAATTGTCTTGGTGGTGGCAGCATTAAAATAGTAATAGTTATATTATTATGCTTAAGTGTGGGTGGTGTTAAGTGGGATTTTATCATTATTTCTGGTCTAGTGCAGACAAATAGTGAACTTTAACCCTTTCACCACCACAACTATGTCAAGCACACTCTTGAAGTAGGGTGCATTCGTGACAGTTAAGGTACCATGACAAAAAGAGTGGTTCATCCCTGCAGGACCTGCTTAAGGTATTAGGCTCTTGCGACCCCGCGCTCTTGTGTATGGGGTAGGACCGTAGAAGGGCCATTTTAACTGAGACCGTGACTGCAGCATTGATCGTTGCCTGAAAATCCTGCGTTGGTGGGGGAGTGTCGCCCATGGTGTCTTGGTCTGTCCTGTAAAGAACAATGACAATCAGTGGATGCAGGATAAGCGGAGCCGCACGCAAGGTGCCAGACTCCTTGCAAAACTGGGGCTCACCAAGGAACCGGCCGTACAGTATAGCCGTCTATCATAGTTTAGTGCCAAATAAGAGCGGCTCACCCTATAGGTGTACGAAAGGGTGTTTTTCCCGTAAGTGAAATAGGAGATGTGAAAGTCTCATACTTGTGGGGATGACCCCAAATTTCCCCTGTCTGGGGTGGCATCAAGGAGGGGCTCACCCTCATAAGGGTTGCCAATGATGACATATACAGTAGTCAATCTCTGCCACTGGTCTGCTGAGACCCTAATATGTACTGCAAAAATATTACGTCTTGTTCAAACTATTTCTCTTTACTAATTGTGTCACATGCAAATATAGCATTTTTTCATAATATTTAAATATTTTAATTAATAAATACATTAAAATTAAAATAAAAAATTAGATGTGTAATTTGTTTTCTTTCAACCCTGGCAAAGAAACATAGAAGCAGTTGTACATCTGTTAGAAATCTACTTTTGGCCACCTCTGTGTTACAGTAATGCATTTTGTATAACAATTACATACAGGCTGGGATTGCCGTGCATAATATTGGTATCTGGAGAAAAAGAGAGTGGAAGCTTAATAGTATTGCAGCCTAAGCAGTGAAGGGGTTAACCCTAACTGAAATAATTCAAAAGAAAAAAGAGAACTATTGACATAGAATAGATGAGGTTAAAAATTAACTTTTAATAGTATAATTAAAATAGGGTGAAGAAACAAATAAATATGAGGAAACTCTCAATATGCCAAAAAGGAATATAGAGAGATGAGAGATACACAACAATTAAGTGATTATAATATCCAGATTATTACAGATTAATCATTTGACAGATAATCAGCAGTTAGATAGTATCTAAAATTGTTCTAAATGGGTAATTTCGAATAGCTAAGTTGTTGCAAATTAATGCTTGCAATTAACTTATGCTACAATACAATATAATATAAGTACTTGTCTATAAGAGGTAGAAAAGAAAACAAAGATTAATTAAATTCCCAGTATGAGTTTTTAAAAAGTATTGCAAAAAACTAACTGTGCCTTCATAGGCACCTACCTCTACAAGACCCCACTAAATTAGCTAACTAGCTAGAAAAATAAATTAAGAAGTGAATCTGCAGGACGCCTTGATAGGTGTATACTGTGCACTATTCATTCGTGTTCTAATTGAGAAGATCACTTCTTGTTGCTAAAACTGAAACTGCAGTTGCTAGTATCTAAATACTAATGATTGCTGTCTATATAGATATAGAAACCATCTCACTGTGCCTTCATGGGCAACTGCCGCTGCTGAAATTCTGAGTTAGCTATTAGTCGGAAGAAAGAGCCCTGATAAGCATATAACAAACCCCAAAAAACTTTTTAGTAGAAGTAATTGCTATAATAGAACACGAATGAATAGTGCACAGTATACACCTATCAAGGCGTCCTGCAGATTCACTTCTTAATTTATTTTTATGGCTAGTTAGCTAATTTAGTGGGGTCTTGTAGAGGTAGGTGCCCATGAAGGCACAGTTAGTTTTTTGCAATACTTTTTATAAACTCATACTGGGAATTTAATTAATCTTTGTTCTTTTCTACCTCTTACAGACAAGTACTTATATTATATTGTATTGTAGCATAAGTTAATTGCAAGCATTAATTTGCAACAATTTAGCTAATCAAAATTACCAATTTAGAACAATTTTAGATACTATCTAACTGCTGATTATCTGTCAAATGATTAATCTGTAATAATCTGGACATTATAATCACTTAATTGTTGTGTATCTCTCATCTCTCTATATTCCTTTTTGGCATATTGAGAGTTTTCTCATATTTATTTGTTTCTTCACCCTATTTTAATTATACTATTAAAAGTTAATTTTTAACCTCATCTATTCTATGGCAGTAGTTCTCTTTTTCCTTTTGTAATATTGGTATCTATTCTTTATCTATCCCACAACACAGTTTCTGATTTGGCAGAACTAGAATGATGCATAGCATAAACAATGGAGTGTACTCTTAATATAGAGCCAATACACATTACAAAAACATAGCAGAAAAAAATCCCTCTGGTAAGAAAACTGTAATTAATCATTATTTTAAACCTTTATCAATGGACCGAATAGGTTTTGTATGTAGTTCAAGTTAACCGTTAATGTTTAAAAAAAGTAACCTATTGTACTAAAAATAGATAAGAATGCAAACATCTGAATATCTAGGATTTGCAGACACAGGGCACGCTGGCAAATGTTTTAAAAACTGGCTGCATTAAAGACACAATTACAGTGGGTATAGCCAGAAGCCTTTGCCACACAGCTCTGTTGTGCTAAAATAAAGTAGATATAGCATTATCGTCCTTGTTTTGTGGTTGTAAATAAGCTGCCACGTAGTGTCTCTTTATACTCTGCATGTTGATTTCAGGCTTGAAAAGAGCAAGAATAGTTTTCCTCGCCATATATATGACAGCACAACAATGTATATCCCCCCATTCCCAAATAGTGAGGACCCTAATTAAAACAAAAGTTATAAGCACCTCTTCTATCCCCAGTGTTTTTGTTCCTGTCCTAACCCCTACAGAATAGAAATCGGGTACATTTTTGTCAATTACAATTGTTTTGTTGTTGTTTTTTGCTTTTTTGCTAGTTGATGTTTATTATCCCCCTTCTCCAAAGGAGTTAAGCCTCTCTTCCTTTGGAAGCTTTAGGACACAGCCCTGTGCAAAAGTGTACCCCTAAAGATTCTCTTTTAATGACAAGGGCATTACTTGCTGTGAACCTAGGGCTGGCAAGTGAAGAGATGCCCTGGGAAATATCCACTTCTTATTAACTTTATCATGGTTACTCTCTACGTGAGCAGACTATCTCTCCTTTACTCATTCCCCGGTGATGTATATACTTTGCACTTGAGCTGTAGATGGCGCTGTGCAGTTCAGAGTACTATTTATATATGCATATGAGTTGTTGGTACTCACAGGAAGGAAGTTCTTTGTTTTTTCACTTGTTTTATGTCTCTTTTCCTTTTACCTTTCACCCTTCTGGTTGCTGTTTCAAGGAAGTGATATGATATAAATGTTTGCTGTTTATCCTCACAAGTAAAGCCTAATATGCTTCTTCACAATCTACCAGTGTCTCTTTTTGAGGCATAACCAACATGGTCTGCGCGACTGCGCAGGTGCAGACTGGACTGAGAGTCCCGTTTTGTGCATGCGTGAAAGTACAAGGATGCACATATGCAGAATGTCAGTTCAGCCAGATTGCGTCATTGGTGACGTCATGGCATATTTTAACTCCAAAACTGTTTCAAGCCTCAGCATATTCCTTAGCTGGTCCCAAATGGTTTATATTTTGTGCAGCTTTGCTGTTCTTGCTCTTTGGTAAGTTTCAAAGCTATATCAATTGAAAGGTATATAATGTTTACGTATAGTTTTGGAGATTTTTTCGCTGCTGATTTTTATACAGATTATACTTTATATTACTTTATATTACTTTATATTACCAGAAATCACACTCCAAGAGTCATCTGTAAGGAATACCATTATTTGATATTTCTTTTTCACTTCACTTCTGGATTTATGATAGAACAAAAGAAAGTTTGGTATTGATATTTTCCTATCTTTGAAGCCCAACAGAAAAAAAATCAGGATCCTCAAAATGAAAGTCTCCCTAGGTGGATTCTATTTGAAGCATGTGACAGGGCCCTGGAGGGGAGATGTCTCTATGCAGCCTGCCTAAGAGCAGTAGCAGCAGGTCCTTCCATCCCTACTCCTGACATCATACATTCCATTAAGCAGTCCTTTCTTTCAGGACATAAAACAGGCCAGTAAGGCAGGCAAAAGGCTGCAGGATCCTCCAGAATGGTCAGAAGATAAGTTATCAGATACATCCATGGAAGCTGAGACATATAAAGCTGTGCTTTCTTTGGAGGAAAAGGTACAGCTCTCTTCTGAGTCTCTAGATCCGGCTGGTGTGGACCACCTTATATCCATAGTACCCAGATCTCTAAACATGAAATAATTAGTGACAAGGAAGACAAGCCTTTCTCTAACTCTTCAGACCTCAGAATGAAAAGAGCTGTTCTATACACCAAAACTGCTTCATTAAGCTAAAGTTGTTCAGGTGACTATAGTGTCCCTTTACTTTATATTTCAGATTTATTGTAGTCCACAGTCAGAAGCATTTAACAATTCAATCGTAATATGCAATTTCACTTTTGATGCTTCACTTAAATATGCTTACATGTTTCCTCGTAATTTCCATGCTACTTTTTCCACTAGTTTGTTATCCATAGCCATCAATCAAGTGTGTAATGGTCAGCAAGCAAAGGCACATTAAGAAGTTCTACACACCAGTCGCTTGCACTCATTTCAGTCTATCCATCTCTGGGAATAATAGCTGTTTCTACTACTGGTGAGCTGTAATCAGTGGCTTGGTATTTTTTCAATCATTCAAACCATTTTTTAATGAACAACAAACAGTCTCTCATATCTCAGCAGTTGCTCATCACTGCATACAGTAATTAATGAGACGGCATGCAATTCAATAGATGCTCTTTAAATTCCATCCGTTGCCCTTAGGGCTAGATGCCTTGAGGACCACACAGTCCTGACGAGAGGGAATGAAAAAACGGCCATCTGTAGCCTCATTGTAGCCTAATTGATTGCTTTAAAACCTCCTCACAAACCAATCATTTATCATGAATCTTACTTCAGCTGCACGAAAAAATATAAATGAGACATTATATGTATTTAGATGAGCCAATGAAAACAAAGATAATCAAACTTGCATTGGTCAAAAATCTGCAATTAAAAATACAATTCCATGGCCAAGGGAGATTAAAATAAAACAGCAGCCACGTTAATTGCAAGAAAAGTGGGTAACATTCTCTGACATTCAGATTGTTTGTAAGAATTGCTTCTAGGATATGTTGACAAAGGGAAGTTAATGACTGGATGCAATTTAAAGTTAGGAGACCAGCAGTGGGGATATAAATATTAACATTACTTACAGAGATGATTACCTCAATCCTATTCCTTTGTATCTCATCCACACTTTGTCTCTGTCTCTTGCTCTGCCTCTCACTAAAATGTTCAATCTCTCCCTTTCCTCTGGCACATTTCCTCTACCCTTCAAACATGTAACCCCCGATTCTGAAAAAGCCCAGGCCCAATTCCCTGTCCAACTACCATCCTATCTAGCTACTGCCATTTTTCTCCAAGATCCTGAGAGAGTTGCGTATGCGAGATTGACAGACTTCCTCAAATCCAACTCTCTGCTTGACCCACTTCAATCTGGATTCCGGTGTTAAAACAGCTGTGACCAAAGTATACAATGATCTTATTACTGCTAAATCTCATGGCCACTACTCTATCCTAATTCTCCTCGACCTTTCTGCTGCTTTTGACACTGTTGATCATCAACAGCTTCTTCTCATTCTCCATAATCTCGATCTATGAGATACAGCTCTCTCCTGGTGCTCTTCCTACCTCTCACCTACCAGCGTTCATTCTGTGTTTTTTTTCTCTGGCTCTGCCTCTTCTCCCCAATCCCTCTATGTTGGTGTTCCCCAAGCGTCTGTCCCTGGTCTCCTATTGTTCTCAATCTACACTGACTCCGTTGGTAAACTCATCAGCTCTTTCGACTTCCAGTATCATTTCTATGCATATGACATGCAAATTTATCTGTCCTCCCCTGATTTCTCACCACCCCTCTTGATTCGTATCTCTGACTGCCTCTCTGCTATTTCCAACAGGGTGGCTTCTCATTTCCTTAAACTGAATCTGTCTAAAACAGAACTTCTGGTCTTCCCTCCCTCAAGTGTTGCTACTCCCTTGTCTGTGTCCCTCCAAGTCAATGGCGCTACCATCCCCTCTACCTCTAAGGCTTGCTGCCTAGGAGTTTTCTTTAATTCCAACCTTTCCTTCACCACTCATGTCCAATCAATCGCCAAATCCTGCTTCTTCCATCTCAAAAACATTGCGCGCATTCGACCCTATTTAATGCCTGATACGGCAAAGGTGCTTGTCCATGCCACTGTCCTCTCTCACCTTGACTACTGTAATCCGCTTCTCAGTGGTTTTACATGTTCCCAACTTGCCCCGTTACAGTCTATAATGAATGTGACGGCGAGGCTTGTCTTCCTGTCCACCTTCACCTCCCAAGCTTCCCCTCTTTGTCATTCCCTACATCGGCTTCCCATAAGATATATGACTCAATTTAAGATCCTGATACTTGCTTGCAAATCTCTACACAATGTTGCTCCGACCTACTTATTCTTACTAATACACAATTATGTCCCATCTAGGCCCCTACACTCTGCCGGAGACCTACGTCTAACCTCTGTTCATACTCCTACCTCTGATGCTCATCTTAAAGACCGTTCCTTCCCCTCTCTGTTAGACTTTCACCCATCTCCATTCCCTCAAAAAATCTTTGAAAATGTACTTCTTTAGGAAAGCATATCAATTAAACT